CGGCGGGGTAGGCCGCCTCGCCGCCTTCCAGCCTCGGTCGTCGAGCTGCCTCTCTGCTTTTAGCGCCGCTTTACTTTTCTAGAAAACGAGTTAATTTGAGCCTGCTAGTCCCTGTGCTTTCCCTTGGATATACTGGGGAGTTTGGACCAAACATTAGTAAGAGACGTGTCGAGTGCGGTGAGTCTTTACTGTTTCCAGGTAGATTGTTGGCTGGGCAGTGGAGAGAGAGAGAGATAGAGGGAAATTTCTGAAGGAATCGAAGGGGATATTTAACCTGTTGGGAGGAGAATCTCCCTGCTTCTCACGACAGGTTAAAGTAGGAGGTAAATTAGGAGTTACGTTTGTGCTGTCCCTTGCCTGGGGAGAAGTATAGGGAATAGTGGGAGAAGAGATTCAGGTTGGATGGCAAAGCAAGAACTCTTAATTTCAAAGATTGTGAAATACATTTCTTCTTCAAAAATAAGTTTTCTTAAATGATACTTTTCCATATAATGTTTACCGAGAACACCGTGGTGTTAGTTTTTCTGGTCCTGTGATTAATCCTTAAAATCTGTTTATTAACTTGAGGCATTTCACAAGTCTAGGAGCTACTATTTTACATCAGCTCTGAGCAGTGCAGCCTACAATTATGATGTCAACAAGTTTTGAGGAGATACCACAAATCAGTTATGGTTTTAGTTACTAAACTTGCAGTAAGTGTTAAAAAAAATCAAAGCTTCTTTGATGGGTTTAAGAGTAAATTATTGTTTCTCATTAATGTGCAATCACATGTGTAGCATATAATACAGAGTAAGGTTATGTTCATTATTTACTGTATTTTTAATAGTGTGTTTTTCTTTGATAGAAGTGTATCCTTCTAAAGAGCCAGCTCAATGCGACTGTATCTAGAATCTGAAATATCACAGTCATGAGATAAGTAGAGGCAATTAGGTAGTTTTTAACATGTCATTTTTATGGAAAAGTTGGAAAGGGTCTTTGGCATTCCTCTTTTTCAGGGAACTCATGAATAAAAAATATTTAAGAATCTGTTTTCTTAACTTGCCTGTTTTTTACTATGAAAGAAACAGCTTTTGGAAAAGCTGCTTGTTTTTCCGAATTACTTAGGAGTTCAGAAATTGTAGAGAATTCCAGTTCTTTGTGTGAGTTGGAGAGAGAAGATGCATTGAGGCTGTTCCTTTTAAATATGTATTGAATTGCTAGCAAGTTGGCCATGGGAAGACTTGATGACTGAACTGTAATTTTGGGTGGGCTCACAAATGCTTAGTTCTTATTTGTAGAATAAGGTTTTTTTTTTCTTTCTTGTGCCCAATTTCTAACATTACAACAGTGTTGAGAAAGGTTGATGTAAAGTGCTAGCTGAAGTGGTAGTTTTCTTAGTAGTTTCCTTATTTTAAAGAACAGTTTTGCTATCAATATAACAGATTAATTATGTGTTCTTTGAGCCTCAGGTGCAGAGGAACGTCATGCCTTCCTCACTGGGATTAGTGGGGTCTTTTCTGTTTTACAGTAGGTTAAAGTCTGTTTTGTGCTGGAAAAGTGTACCGGGTAAACAAGGCGATGTCTGTTTTAACTGAGCCTCTGTAAATATATGTTTCATGAATAGCATGATTCAATGTCCTCTGTATAATGTTTTCCTTATGAGTAATCTGACACAAGCAATCGGTTGAATGTTTCATGCAGCTCCTTAGGAGCACTCAATGAAAGTATTGTCACTTAAAAAAAAAAAAAAATGTGTCCTGACCGAAGGAGAAGTTACATATGTTCTCATGTTCTTTGGGCATATTATGCTAGGGAGAAAGATTCTAAAGCTCTGTTACCTGCAGGAGATGTTCTAGGAATCTCAGCCAAATTCCTGGGAGAAAGCATGTGATGATGGAGAAAATACTGGTCAAGTATGATCCTACAAGGCGTCATTCATTCATGGAGGGTGGGAGATGCGTCTCTGAAGTCCTCAGTCTGGAAAGGAAGCATGCTAAATGTTTGAGGAACACCTTGGCATACTGATATGGTAAGGGTGTCCTTCCTGACTTAAGTGGCTGTCCTACTGAAGACTTCTTTTTGAAGTTTACAAAGTACAGTTCTGCTTATGACTTCTAAAAAAGTTTGCAGTATGAAATATCTCCAGTGCATCATGGTGGGATTTCTTGGTTGTAAAATGCTTGTCGTGTGGTCATTTTTAATTGAAGTATTGCAAGAGAAGTTAGTGTCTTGGGTTTAATGTTAAATGTTTTTGTCCTTTTCTCAGAGTCTGAAAAAGTGGAGGAGCTTCAGAAAAATGTTTCCAGAAGTGAGAATGAAACACTACGAAATGGGATAGATGGTTTGCACAGTATAACACCAACACAAAAAGAAGTGCTCCCAACAACAACTAAAATCACTTCTGTGACTGCAGTAAAACCATCTCCAGCCAAAGAAGATTCTCTGCTCAGTGTCCTCTCTCATGCGGTGACTGTTAGTCCTGTATCTCAGATGGATGTTGATGCTTCTGAAGACACTAAAATTGAGGAAGAGGATCTTCTAACAGATTTGAAAGATACACTAAATAGTTCACCGCCCATAATAAAAGAAACTCTGGAGTCTGATGGAGATGACTATGGTCCTTATGAAATGACATCAAATGCGAGATACAGTCCAGACCTCCTAGATATGCCAGAAGATGAGGACTCTGACCCCATTACTAATTATAATGAGGAGATTAAATCCCATGAAGAGAAGATTAAAGATGCTGCTGTTGCAGATTTGGAAGAAGACAGCCACTTCTTTTTTCATCTGGTTATAGTTGCCTTCTTAGTAGCTGTTGTTTATATCACCTATCACAACAAGAGGAAGGTAGGTACACAGCTAAAAGTTATGGGAGATTGCTTTAGTATTTAAAATTGCTTAGACATTGTAACTATTTTAGTAAGAACAACACTGCTTTTTGGGGAATGAAACTTACTTTGACTACTTATGAAAAGTTTTATTGTGATCATGAATGTCATTTTCATCTATACAATGAAAACAAACTTGAATCAAGCATTTTGGTTAGAAAAACAATAACATCAGCAAGCAGTAATATGACACTGACAGTGTCATATAGACATGACTTCTAGAAATAGCGTCTGACTAAAGTCAGTTGAAGGTGATTAACTCATTTCGGTTCTGCTCAAGATTATAAACAGCGAATTGGGAAAGGATTAATCTCAGATGATGTGAGGATGTTCTTGATATAAGTATGATAATACTTGTAAGATAGCCTCACTTTAAGGTCATTTTTAAATCATAAATATTCCTCAGACTTAGCTTCCAATTTTTAGAAAATGGTTAGCTCTTTGTTTTCAGTTTTACACAGGCAGGACCCAGGTTATTAGTGGTCAGGTAAATGTTTCTTCAGCATGAACTAATTCTTTGCATCTCAAAAGTTGCCTAATTAGTGTTGTTGTTTGTTTGTTGTTTGTGTGATTTCATTTCCCCAAATACATTGCTACCACTGTAATATGCATAGACAAGTTTATCAATCGCATCATAGCTTAATTCTTAGATTTGGGGAGCTTCACTGTTTCTCTTTATCCTTGTACAGAGCACTGATTTGGTCCAGGATTCTGGGGAGTCTGGAAGGAACACAGATAAAAAATACTTGTGCTTTAAAGTACTGTAGCATAGCTCTAAGTGTTTATAGGGGAAAGTGTTCTAGAGTGCCTCTATTGCTTTTGAAAGTTTAACTTTCAATAATGAATAATTTTGTGAGTGGAAGATACATTAGTGCTGTAAATACCTAGAGAGTGGCACGTATTTATGTGAGGCTTAACTCGCTCTCCTCCTTTTTTCCCTCCCTGTGCCTCCTTTTATCATTCCTTTGTCAGTACAGCTGTATTGTGCTGTAAACTGGACTCCTAATATGAAGTCGGTAGGAAACAGTGGTGAATAGGGTGAAGATAACTGGACATTCTTAAAACTGAGCACTTTAGTGTTTCATTTGCCACGCAGTCTCTGTTCAGTGCCCTACTGCTATTGCTGAAGGGGCACTGAGTGTAATGCAGAAAGATTTACATTGTTACTGCTCTTCTTGCCTTTGTTTCACCACCAGTAATGTAATTTTAACCAGAAATAGAAGCCGAAATAGGCAAGATGAATAAACAAATGTCACCATGTAGGGCATAATTCTAATATGCTGTGCATGCAGTGCAATACTGCACTACTTCAGTGCATCTGGAGCTCTGTGTGTACCCATATTAAAGGAATTATGGGGGGGATGCAGTGCTTTTGCCAAAACTGCAGCTGAGGTTGCAGTACGTGACAGGATGACAAGGACAATATGGAAATGGCTGATGACTTGTGACATGTTTTGTAGTAACAGTAGTGCCGTTGCTGAGAGCCCTGGATATGAGACTGTGATTGCGGATGCAGCTGTTAAACTGGCTCCTGAAACCAAAATATTTCTCCGTTTACTTACATCTCGGCTGTGTTTCCTTGCAGATCTTCTTGTTGGTCCAGAGCCGAAGGTGGCGGGATGGCCTGTGCTCTAGAACAGTGGAATATCATCGTTTAGATCAAAATGTTAATGAAGCGATGCCTTCCTTGAAGATAACCAATGATTATGTATTTTGAAAGCACTGTGATTTGCGTTTGCTGAACTTCTCAGTCTTTGCCTGCCTAGTCATGTAATGATATTCAGGTATTCTAAATATGCCGCTTGTGCTGAAGTGAGGGGGACTTCCTCAGACGCAGATATTTTTGGGATTAAATCTCATGCAAGGTCAAGGGCATGATGCATCTGTTTGCTACTTTGGTCAGGTTTTAAATCAGCTATACAGATAGAGAGTTTAATATTTAGTGCCCTTTCTGTTTGTTAAGTATCTTCCCTTCTGTCTAGAGCAGTCTTAATAGTGGTAATGCAAAAAGTAAGCATCAAATATCTTAAGTCTAATAAATTAACGTTGGGCATCACTGAATCAAATTAATGATCTCTTTGCTAATCACTTAAATGGCTCATAAATCCTACTGCTTTACAGTTTGAAAAAATAATTAGTTTTTTTCTGTGCTTAAATCCTGGTGCTGCAAAAAATAATTATGTTTAAAATACTTTATTAGAGAAATTATACGCTGTATATTTCTTTAGAATGCTCCAGATTTATGAGAAGGTGTTGCAGCTTCTTGACTGTCTATATTTTTTCTTTAATTATATTTATGACTATTTTATTATCTTCATAATTACTGAGTGGAAAATAAACCTTATGATATAATTTTAGTAAAATATACATGACAGGCTTTTGGTACATCAAAACTTTCTCTTGAATTTTAAGACAGTTGGGACACAGTTATGTGTTTTGGTAAATTACGAATAGGAGAGGCCTGAGAATATAAGAACAACATTTTTTTTGTTTTTCTGACCGAGGTAACAGACAGATGAAGGTAACGGCATGTGGGACTGCCAGTCTATGGATAGCACATTCTCATTTTTGACAAATATTTAGCATTACTGTAAAGCAATTACTGGTACATTAGGATTTTTTTTTATTTTTCATTTTTTAACCTTGTCTTTTGTACGTTTGTTATTTATGTTTTCATGAGTTGTAAAATTTAAAATCTCTTTAGTTTTCTGTACATTCTGTTTGTGATTTAGTTTTCAAAACTGATAAATGTGTAAATAATAGTGGATCAGAACCACAATTAATGACTTGGTATTCAAGTAATTATATAACACTTTGAAAGAAATCAGAACTTTCCAGGTATTGGCATGAAGAGTTTGAAGGCATGTTACTATTTTACCTGTTGAAACACTAAAACTTCAAAGTCCTACTGCTAAACACTTTCTTTTCATAACCACAGGAAAGTAAAGCACAAACAAAATATACCAAATCTGTTTTCTTGCAGTAATTTTTATTATATTTGGACTTGTATCACTTAATATTTTAATAAGGTTTTTAAAATAAATGGCAATAATAAGCTTGTGGGTTTTTTTTTGTTTTAATCTCAGCTATTTTAATGATTTTATATAGTACATTACCATAGAGAGTTTGTTTATGCCTGGGTGTGAACAAACTATTCCAAACCACGTTTTCCATCACTGGTGAAATTCAGCCCATGCAGAGGATATGTGCAGGTTGTTTTGTGCCTCTGTTAAATGATATGTAGGGTAGATAGCAAAGCTGACTGAAGTCATTCAAGCGGTAAAAAAATAAATAAATTGAAAAGATTTTTTTTTT